TATTCGTCATGTTTAATTGATTGATGATTTACAATTTTAAATGCATGATAATACACTAGATTAGTATGATAATTCAATTGTGTTTCCTTGATGCATGCTTTGTTTATTTACGTGATTTACAGTTAATTAAAAAACTAAAAATTGAAAGTAAGCAGAAAATTTTTTGATTTAGTGAATGAATGAATGGTAGCCTTACTGGATATCCTTGGAGATGATGGACGAACCAGGTACATAGAGAACCCGACTGTGAACGCTGACTCATACTATATGGGGTATCAAATATTTGTATTTTGGCGCTCATACTGAACAATGTATGAGACCAGCCCATTTCACCCTCATATCGGACGGAGTATTAAGGGATAATATCTTTTGGCACCCATACCGGACGGGATATGGGGATGCCTCGTTAGTTGAAAAGGTTGAATAAAGGTTCACCCGTTGTAGGAACATCCCTATGGACCCCCATGGATACGAGTAGCCTAATAAAGGAGAAAGTTGTTGTTCCAACTTGTTGAAAATGAGATTATAGTATTGTTTATGTTATTATCTCTATAGGTCGGTTTTGCAAATTTCGCTATGGTAAGTATGCAGTAAATGATTTTATTCATGAAAAACGAATTTAGTTAAATTGAGTGCTCAATTAGTTATTTTTATGATTTTTACCAACCTTCATTTATGTGTCGGTGAGTAGTGTGATACTCTTACTGCGCTAGTGTAACTCACTCTTTCATTAACCATTTCAGATCAAGAGGACTAAAATCCAGAACCCGATCTATAAAAGGGTTGTGAGTAGGACGTTTAGTTTGTTTACTTTTATTGTATTTTTTTTTATTATTAGTTGTTCTTTTAAAAATGTCATTCTCGTAACCCTATTGGGTATCCTGAATTATTGTGTAAGGAATGTAAATTCTAACGCTATTATTTTGCTTCCGCACTTAATTTATAATTTATTTGTCTTCAAGTTCCGGGTTGTTATATTTGGTCCCTTCTTACATGATTTATCTGGTTATGTGATTACCTAATTATTGGTTATGATAAATTAAATTGCTTGCTTAAATACCATTTAAATTTATCAGTGAAAATGACATAAGACGTTGGTATGCTTTGATGGCTGTTTGGAGAATATAAATAAAGAAAATCTTACTAAGCATCCTAAAAAATAGTTAATGGATCTGGTACATAGGGAACCCTACCGTGGACATTACCTCAGTCAGACGGGCTGAGAAATCTCATACTGTAAGGGTTTTGTGAGATTTAATTTACCCTCATATCGAACGGAGTATCGAGATGATAATATTTTTGACACTCATTACCGGACAGGGTATGAAGACGGTCGGGTTAATTATTAATTCTTAACACTGGGTCCACGAGTGAAGGGATATCCTTATGAACCCCCAGGGATTCCAGTAAATAGCTTAAAAAAACGGAGAATTGTGATCCTATGAATGAAATTAAAATGTTATTTAGTTATTTATCTTCATATGTTGATTTTGAAAAAACTGTAATGGTAAATATCGAATAAAAAATTTTAAAATTAAATGTATTTGCTTAAAGTAAGAGCTACATTAGTTATTTTTTTATTTTTACTAACATTCAGTTTTTCATATTTATGATTAGTGTGATATTCTTACTGGGTTAGTATAATTCACCATTTTATTAATCATTTCAGATCAAAAAGATCAAGACCCAAATTCCGATCAGCAAGATAGATATGAGTAGTTCACCTCCCGAACTTCCTTCAAGTGCTAGTGAAAGTTGTCCTAAATTGCTTATTTTTTTATTTTTTCTTTAATTACCGTTTGTCTTTTAGAAGGAATAATTCTGTAACATTATCGAAAAATCTAAATTATTGTGTAAAAATTGTAAACTCTAATTTTATTATCCGCTTTCGTATTTAAATTATAAATTCATTTCTATTTAAGTTTCGAACTTTTACACTACAAGTTAACATAAATTTATTTAAGTGCTAACGACTTAAAATTAGGAATTAAGTGTTGATTACAAGACATTGCAAGATTTTAGTTTTTGGTCTTAATAATATCTAAGCCTAACAACTTTTTCTTTTAAATTCTTGCTTCCAAGTTTTAAATGAATAACTTAGAATTTAACTATAGCATTCATAAGAAGGAAAAAGAGAGAAAAATGAAATTATCATGTGGATGTTGAAATACTTCTAGGAGGAACCCAAGAAAAGGAAATAACTTGTTATTTTTTTCAAAAAATTTGAATTTCCTTTAAAAATTAAAATTGAGAGGAAACACGAATTTAAATTGTCAATACTAAAAAAAGAAAACATTATGTCATTTAAATTAAATTTTTTGTATCACTTATATAAATAAAAGGTCAAATACTTTATAATTATAATTATTTTGTGACATTATTGCACATTAATCCATTACTCAGTAATGATTATTAGTATATGAGATTCCTATATAAGTTTGAAAATCATGTATATATACATATACACAAATTTAACCCAAGAAGAAGAAGAAGAAAAAAAAGAAAAAGTATGGAGTAATTGCAAGTATGATGAAAAACTAATCAAGTGGGTGTTATGTCAAAATATGCAAGTGGCATGTACTTTCGTTGGAAGTGAGGCAGGCAAATACCATAACGGATTAAAAATAAGAAAAAAATTAATTTGGAGAATTTTGCTCAACGGTGGCAAAATGTGCCCAACCAACTGGGATATTCTTCAAAATATCCTTTTCTTTTTGTTTTTTTATAAATATTTTAAAACAATTAATATATATATATATATATATATATATATATATATATATATATATATCAATTGGAAGAGTTTGGATTGTCTTTTGAACGGTGACTTTAGAAAGCAAAAAAAAAAATACAATTTTTAAAACTTTTTAAATTTTTATTTAATAAATTTATTTAATTATTTTCTTTATATCTACTTAAAAAAGTTAAAAATATATATTATTTTTTTTTGTAAAAAATATTTAATATATATATATATAGTAATTTTAATTGACCCTTTTGTTATTCTCTCATCCTTATAACAAATATTATAATTTTATATTTTTTTTCTTCTTTTCAATATATACACTCGCGTTCGGGCGAACACACACATGTATATATATATATATATATACATATATAAAGGGTACCCACTTGATGTTTATGTGCATATGATGTAACCTTCGTAACCTCCATCTCTTTCTATACCCTCTAATTTCTTTTTTTCCTTCTCATTTAAAAGTGCTACTTGATCTCTTTTTTTTGGGGGGTAATATTTTAATTTCTTTTACTTTCTAAAATCTATTAGTAAATATTATAACCTGTCGAAGGGTTCAGTTATTGTTCTATAATTTTGACAGGCCATGTACTAAATTTATTAAGGTATCTGATACTTTGGAAATATGCTGTTAGGTTTATTCAATATTAATCATGTATGTAAATACATGCATATCTTTTGGGTGGTTCAGAATAATTAACCTTCAATATTATTTTTCTTACTTCTTTTTGAAAAATGAAGTCAAGGGTGGTTCAAATATTTTGACATGTCCTTCTCTGTGAAAATGAGCAGATTAGATAATAAGAGGACAAATTCTACTATTACAATCTATGATTTAGTTAGAGAACTATTTTTAGATACATTTTGTTCCTCCATACATAACACAAATACCACTCGTTATCAATAAACAAGTTTACTATCTTTTGTGGTGTTGTTGATTTCTTTTTTTTTTTTTTTTGTTGTTGTTGTTGTAATATCATATATATATATATATATATATATATATACCTGTAAGATATCATAGTTACCAAGTTAGTTAATAATTAAAAATGGAGAAAGGCATCAGATTAGTTGTGGGTGAAAATGGATACGATCCAATTTATAGGTCTAAAAGAACTTTTGAAGGTAAGGTGCCTCGTGGAGAATAAATAAAAGGCAATCAATAGAGGATGTTTTGAGTAATATGCTGGTAGAAAGGAATTTTTACGAGAGATGGAATCCAATCCGAACCACCCAGTTCCATCTCTATATTTTTATAAGGATATTAATTAATTAATTAATTAATTAAAAACATATATATATATATATATATATAAAAAGATGCATTCCAAGGTCCTTATAAATTGATTAGATTTGTTCACGTCTCAACTCCAACATACCTCTCACTTTCTCCCTCACAAACTAAAACACCCACAAACACACACACGCACACATTAAAAAAAAAAAAAAAAAAAAGTCCTTTTTACAGGAAAAATCATTTTCCAAGCAAATATCAACCTTATATTTATATATATATATATAGTTTTACAATAACAGCTTCTCCTCTCTGTAATCTGCATATACAGATAAACGCACACAAGCACAAGGTTTCCGTTTTAATTCTTTTTCAATTGATTTTTCTTGTGTCCGAGGCTATTATATATATATATATATATAAAGAAATATATCAAGAGGGTCATATATATTCTTTGGGTGTGTGAGAGAGAAGGCAGAGAAGAAAGATGGCAGGAAATGAGTGGATCAATGGGTACTTAGAAGCTATTTTGGATGTGGGAAGCAGCGAAAGGAAAAAGCTTGATGGGTCGAACAAGAAGATGGCCAAGTTTGAAGTGAAAGAGGATAAGCTGTTCAGTCCTACCAAGTACTTTGTTGAAGAAGTTACCAACAGCTTTGATGAATCTGACCTGTATAAGACTTGGGTCAAGGTACATATAAATATTCTCCCCTTCTCGATATAATTACATATACATACATATCTCTCTCTCTCTCTCTCTCTCCCTCCTTGTTTTCCTCTTAACAGAGACCAAATGAAGTATTTTTTTTTATGCAGAGACCAAAAGAAGGTTTGCTGTATATATTTGTATGTATTCATACACATATATGTCATATATACATATGTATTATGTATATATAGACACGTACGAATTATCATAGACAGTCAATAAAGGCCGAGAATGATTTCTGCATGGATTTTGTAGTGCAACAGATACGCTGTTATATTATATTAGGTTGTAGTAAAATGATAAACTGAGATTCTTTTTTATGATAATATACATTAATTAACAAAACAATTTAATAGATTCGTAGAAAAAAATAATATAATTGCGATCACCTAGCTAGTACTAATTAAAGAATTATCAGATGCATATTAAATTTTTTATATAGACATTAATGTATATATATATATATATATATATTTTTTAAAGCTTGGGCCTGTCTATATGTGCATGGATGGTATCACAGCACAGTTTGAAGTTAATTATTACTTTAATTGATTCGCATGACATGTCGATTAATTATTTAATTTGATACGTGGGGAAAAGGCAAAAGCTTGGGATGCACTATTTAATTAGGAATAACGAATAATTATACTTGGCAGGGAAGTTGTAATTGTTTATATATGTGTGTGTATCGTATATAAACATATATATATATATATGTTATAACATACATTTCTACACAAAGTCTAATTTTGAAAATAGTATAGTATATACATCTAACTAAATAAAATTAATCTTGATCATTAAGCTTTTTAAGATTCTTATTCGGATTGGTCTATTCTATCTGTTTATTTGATTTAATTTAATTTATTTTTTATTAATTTTTATTATTAATATAAATTTTAATATCAAAAAAATTTAAGAAAAAGAGACAACATAATATTAAAAAAAAATTATACTATATCAAAATCATTACGAAAAATACATAAATTAATTATAAATAGAATGATCATTGAATTGAAGGAGATGATATATTCTGTTAATTGTAATGGCATGTATGTGTGTGTGTGTACATACATATGCATATATGCAAATTAATGGATGAAAATGGGGAATGTAACAGGTAATAGCGACCAGGAATACTCGTGAACGGAGTAACAGGCTGGAGAATATGTGCTGGCGAATTTGGCATCTTGCCCGCAAAAAGAAGCAGGTCATTTCCTTTCAACTCCCCTCTCTACTTGACTAATTTCCTCTTTGTTACCTAATAATCTTCAAGTTTCTTTTTTTTTTTTTCTCTTTCGGTTCCCCCCTTCTTATTCTCATCCTGGTCAGTACCTTTTCTTTAATTTGTTTGTTCTCATTTAGGTGGGTTTTTTAAATAAAATTTAATATGGAATTATGAATTTTTAACACGATTTGTTCATACCACAGTATCTTAAGAGCTAGTCCCTTAAAACTTACTCAGAACCTGTTTGAAGTTAGCTGAGCAATAGCCTATTCATATACTTGCAACTATACCCATTAGGTCACAATTTGATTAAGTTTAGCTCCTTGTCTTTTGTTTGCCTATCCTTTCTTATGAGTGCGTTCAGGCCCAGTTCCATTCCGGACGGGAAAACTTTCAACTTGATTTCACCAATATCAATATATATATATATATATATAATATAAATGTGTTGACTACCATCAGGAACAGGATGCAAGTCCAAATGATAATAAATTGCTTAATCATTTTCACAAGGTCCTTTACCGTTTTGAAGTAAATTAAACTTGCATCCGTAGTAATCTATGTTTTAAGGTGTTACGGGCTTATCATTTTGTTAATAACTATAGCTTAAATTAAATATCTTATGACATGTAAGAATCTCTTTGGTCATCTTTAAGGAATGTTATGTCAGTTGTTGGACCTCATCTTTTTTGCTGATGAAAAAGAAATTTGTATTGTATAACTATAAAGTATATTCCATATACATTTGAGTAATTTGCATGAAACAATAAATAATATTGTTTCATTAATTTTACATGGTTGTATAAATTTGCTCCATGCGTACACTCAACCACTAGTGTTAAACATCTGCATATTATTTATTATTGCCAACCGCGAAAGTGAAGGTTCTGTAAGTGAAAAGTGGAAGAGTGACATTTTTCTACAGATTGCATGGGAAGATACAAGAAAGCTAGCAAAACAAAGGTTGGAACGGGAACAGGGAAAAAACGACGCTGCAGAAGACCTGTCTGAGTTGTCGGAAGGCGAGAAAGAGAAAGGCGATGTTAATGTTTCTGGCGCAGTGAAGGAGTTTTCAAGAATTAACTCTGATCTGCACATTTGGTCCGATGAAGATAACTCGAGGAACCTCTACATCGTCCTAATTAGGTAATTCTTTCTAATTAATCTTTTAATTCCTAGAAATACTCAACATTTTCATTAGTTTACTCACCAAATTTCCCTTTAATTTCTATAATAAATAAGCAACAATGGTTTATTTTCATATGACGAAAAAATGTAAAAATCACATTGTATAGCATGCACGGGTTGGTTCGTGGAGAAAACATGGAACTTGGAAGAGACTCAGATACTGGTGGTCAGGTACTCATTGAGCTTATTATTATTATTATTGTTACTAACCTTATTATGATTATTATTATTTTTTGAAGATTATTTATTATTATTGTTATTATCATTATTCTCACGTATATATATATATATACAATATTTTCTAAGGCACGAGAATCAACTTTTAATTTTAATGGAAAAATAATCCACTTCCTACTACTATTTCCAGCAATTAGGAAGGCAATAACCAAACTTCGAGAACTTACCCGGATGACAGATGATGTTTCTTTTGAGTAATTAGTGGTTCTGTGATTGATTGGGATTTGGAACAGGTGAAATACGTGGTGGAACTTGCTCGAGCTCTAGCAAACACTAAGGGAGTGTACCGGGTGGATCTCTTGACCAGACAAATAGCCTCGCCGGAGGTGGACTTCAGCTACGGCGAACCAATAGAGATGTTGTCATGCCCAGCTGATGCCAGTGGCAGCTGCGGAGCTTACATTGTCCGCATTCCTTGCGGTCCCCGTGACAAGTAATGAAACTTCAAATCTATTTTTCAACATATATATAATGTGCGTAGTAATAGGATAAGTTCAAAAAAATTAGTTTTGATGAGAAACAACTTAATTTATAATTTATACTCTAAAACACTTCTTGATAACATGCAAACTTATAGACTAAAAGTATGATCAAGCATATATAAATCTACATTTTTTGTAATGCGGAGTAAAAATAATAATAATAATAATAATAATAATAATAATAATAATAATAAATTAAGATTTTTTTTATAGACTTGAGTTTTTTTAAATAATTAACTAAAACTAATTACTATTCAGAACTTGTAAACTGAGGAACTTTTTTTTTTCTTATTGTTTACGCACCATTATTTTAGCTTTCCTTAATACTGGACGTCCAAATTGAACAAAATCCATCAATCTACGTTAATCTTCATAGTCTTCTCTTTGTCTACTAACACTTCTAAATAAAATTTAAAAATTCTAGGCGAGGGGTTGCTAAAAATACAACGTAAATAATTTATTTAACTCATTCCTTGAAAAGTCACATTTATTATTTACTATAACATATATACATTTACATATAATCTGTGTAAATAAGTAGTATTAAAAGTAGTATTGGAGATTGATGGTTGGTTATTCAGGTACTTGCCTAAAGAGTTGCTGTGGCCTTACATTCCTGAATTTGTTGACGGCTCCCTAAACCACATTGTGAATATGGCAAGGGGCCTAGGAGAGCAAGTGAATGGAGGAAAACCAGCATGGCCTTACGTGATTCATGGTCACTATGCAGATGCAGCGGAGGTGGCGGCTCATTTGTCAGGAGCACTAAACGTGCCAATGGTGCTAACAGGACACTCTCTGGGCAGGAACAAGTTCGAGCAATTGCTTAAGCAAGGGAGGTTGTCTAGGGAGGACATAAATGCAACGTACAAGATCATGAGGAGGATTGAAGGAGAGGAGTTGGGATTGGATGCAGCAGAAATGGTGGTAACCAGTACAAGACAAGAGATTGAAGAACAGTGGGGATTGTACGACGGGTTTGATCTCAAGTTGGAGAGAAAGCTTAGGGTTCGGAGACGGCGTGGAGTCAGTTGCCTTGGGCGTTACATGCCTAGGATGGTGGTATGGACAATTTTTCCAACTTACTTCACATTCTTCATATCATATCATTGAGCCAGAACTTATTTGGTGAAGTGGTAGGTCATCAAATTGGAACTTTATGCCTAGGATGGTGATTTGATCTAAGTGTGTTAACACTCGTTTATCACTTTTTGTACAGGATAAAAGTTCCATATTTGCCTCCAATATAGTCTAGAAAAATTATGTATAGACAAAACATCACTATGCTAAATAATCTGCTTTTGCCTTGAAGCATCAATGTTTCAGTATTGAGGAACTAGTACAAGGCTAAGACACAAACAAGCACACACATGAATCTAATATCACTGTATATCCAATTAGGTGATACCACCCGGTATGGACTTCAGTTACGTTACAGCACAAGATTCACTGGAAGGAGATGGGGACCTCAAATCACTGATTGGCCCTGACCGAGGCCAAACCAAAAGGCATCTGCCTCCAATATGGTCTGAGGTACTCTATCCATTTCTTTTTTTCATCACACTCTTTTTATTTTATTCATATGCTACCATAACACTTGAATTATTCACCAGAACAAAATTTATATTTTTCCGAGAACCATATTGGGCATTTTATCAGAACAGACAAACAAAAAATTATCTATCCTAAACACCAAGAAACATCCAGAGATTTCTTTTAACTGTTGTATGAAGCAATCTAGTGGACATTATGATTCCTTGTTTAACATTTAATTTTGTAATGCAGATAATGCGATTTTTCACAAATCCACACAAACCAACTATACTTGCATTGTCTCGTCCTGACCCCAAGAAAAATGTCACCACATTGCTCAAGGCTTTTGGAGAGTGTCAGCCTCTGCGAGAGCTGGCCAACTTGGTAAAAATAATAATCATTTGTATACATCACAGCTCAGATAGAGCTTAATCAGGTTTTCTGCTGATGGATATATATCTTGTGATTGCAGACCCTAATACTTGGAAATAGAGATGACATCGAAGAGATGTCTAATAGCAGCTCTGCAGTCCTCACAAATGTGCTAAAGCTAATTGACAGGTATGACTTGTACGGTCTAGTGGCCTACCCCAAGCACCATAAGCAATCAGAAGTTCCTGACATCTACCGTTTGGCTGCTAAAACTAAGGTAAGTATTATATCTCTCCCTCTAGGCTGACCTCCATAAAGCGGAGCCTTTTAGGCTCTCACATGGCAAAGATAAAATGCCAACGTTAACTTCTCTCCATCTTCTCCTTGCAACCCTTAAACTGCTAACAGTAACAATTCTGTGGCGGTTTGTCTCTTGAAGGGAGTTTTCATCAATCCAGCTCTTGTCGAGCCATTTGGTCTCACACTTATAGAGGTAAACTTCAGCTGCATTTTTGAATAATCACTTTCTTACCCAGAAGTTTCAGAGCTCTTACGTAAATGTTTAAGACCGAGGATTACAATAATTTTTTCATTTTCCATTCTATATTTTATCTGGCAGGCAACTGCTTATGGTTTGCCTGTTGTCGCCACGAAGAATGGTGGACCAGTGGATATCTTGAAGGTAATACATCTAATTCAGAATATATGCTTAACTTGCAAATAATCTGTCAAAACTTGTTAACAGAGGGCACTTTGTTTTGGCAGGCACTTAACAATGGCCTCCTGGTCGACCCACATGATCAGAAAGCTGTAGCAGATGCCCTCTTAAAACTTCTTGCTGACAAGAACCTCTGGGCAGAATGCAGAAAAAATGGCCTCAAGAACATCCATCGCTTTTCATGGCCGGAACACAGCCGAAACTATCTTTCCCATGTTGAACATTACCGAAACCGCCACCCCACCACCCGGCTTGAGATCATGACAATTCCAGAGGAGCCTATGAGTGACTCTCTAAGGGACGTGGAAGACCTGTCTCTAAGGTTCTCGACAGAAGGAGATTTCAAATTTAATGGAGAGGTTGATGCAGCAGCTAGACAAAAGAAACTAATTGAAGCCATTACCAAAATGTCTTCTTCAAATGGCTCCGCAGCAGTTACTTATACACCTGGTAGGAGGCAGATGCTATTTGTAATAGCTGCTGATTGCTATAATAATGAAGGTGAGAGCACAGAAACTCTTCAATCAACAATCGAGAATGTGATGAAAGCTGCAGGATTAAGTGTTGGGGTGGCCAGAGTAGGGTTTGTTTTGGTAACTGGGTCAAGTTTAAGGGAGACTTTACAAGCATTAAGATGTTGCCCGGTAAACATAGAAGATTTTGATGCACTTGTTTGTAATAGTGGAAGTGAAATATATTACCCGTGGAGGGATATGGTGGCTGATGTAGGCTATGAAGCTCATATTGAATACAGATGGCCAGGTGAACATATAAGGTCAACAGTAATGAGGCTCGCTCGAACAGAAGACGGGGCCGAGGATGACATTGTGGAGTATATGGCCGCATGTAGCTCTAGATGTTACTCTTATGCTGTGAAACTAGGAGCAAAGGTATCATTTTACTAATAAAGGAAGCGTTAAACGTAACTAAATGCTTTCTCTTATATTAACATATTACTGACAGTTATAAATGTACCAATTGCAGACTCGAAAGATTGATGACCTTCGGCAAAGGCTTCGAATGAGAGGTTTCCGGTGCAGCCTTGTCTACTCACGGGCATCATCAAGATTGAATGTGGTGCCATTATTTGCATCAAGAATACAAGCCTTAAGGTAAGACCTCATGTTGTCACTCTATCTATACCACTTGCATACAAGTAAAACTCCTAGAAATTACTTCTTGAACCACTCCAAAGTAGCAAATCTGATAATGAAAGAAACATGCTTCCATGAGCCTATGCAGGTATCTATCAATCAGATGGGGAATTGATCTATCCAAAGTCATAATCTTTGTTGGGGAGACGGGGGATACAGATTATGAGGACTTGCTCGCTGGCCTCCAAAAAACCATTATTCTAAAAGGCACTGTAGAATGCGGTAGTGAAGAGCTTCTTCACCATGAAGACAGTTTAAGAAGAGAAGATGTAGTCCCACAAGAAAGTCCTAACATCGTCTACATCAATGAGAATTATGAAGCTCAAGATATCGCTGCAGCACTACAGATGCTTGGAGTCAAGTGATATTTTTATATATTTCTCTCTTTCTTTTTTCAAGGTTTTTGGCACTCTATGACAATCAAAAGAATCTAATCATTCAGACGTCAACTTGTAAGAAATTATATGCAATACAACTTATATCTATGTTTGTAAGTAATTTTAGATCTACAAGATCTTCAACTTAATTACAGAATGTCAAGCGAAAGCTTCTATATGCACATGAAGGCTTCCACTGTGCATTTTCTAGCATTTAACAGTTTCAGTCAGTATTCACAGTTCCTAATAAAGAAATTTGTGGGTGGATTATCTAAGCTTTGAGCAGTGTATAGCAGACAAGTGGGTGTTTCTGACCGAGCATGTGATGGTATATGTTGGCATCAATCTTTTTAAGAGATCGGATTGAAGATCTCGCATATTTGATACGCTGCAAACATATCAGATGATTTACCATGTTAAAGCAAAAAGTTATATTTATTCTATCAGCACTTAGCATTATCCAATACAGTTCTCTCAAAGATGTTACTTGGATTACTTCATTGCAGCATATACAACTATAGCAACTGTAGGACGTCCACTTACATTATTACTTTCAAGTATTTGGTTTCTTGTTCAGTGGTACAATACCTGTACAGAGTCCGTGTTCCAAATCATGATTTTAGGCCTTTGCCTTATGCTATGTTGCATTTCCCATGCTATCATGATCCAGATCCAATTTTACCTTGTAATCATTTCCACAACCACACTTGATGACACAAGAAATTCCCTGCAAAAGTAAACAAGTTCCTGTAAACAAAAGCAAAGACCTTAGCAGTCTTAAGGCTAATCATGGTAGAATCACGTTTACCTGAAGCTTTTGAATTTGGCCTTGCAGTGACTGTAGATACTCTGTTTCTCCAGATTTATCTAACAAGAGAGCTTCGTATTCCTCTTCCAGAATTGTTAAATCCATTGCCAGCAGTTCTGGCTGTGATAATTTAAAAGATACATCTCAAGCGTGAAAAACCATGTTATAAACCCGAGAATCTAATGTACATAAGCAAGACCGACACTCCATTTAAAGATTTGAATATCGAACATTAATTGATGCCTAACAACATTGATATTAATCAATTTGAATGATTCCATTTTTCATTGATAGTAGAGAAATAGAAACATACATGCACATTATATACACGTCTTCGAGCATCTAAATAAATTAAAATGCAAACCACATACCTCTTGTGTGAGTGTATTAAACTAACCTTGAAATCCTTTGCCTTGCACCTCAAATGTTCAAGGTACTGCTTCATCTGAAATGAGAAATACCTCGCATGAATGAACATTTTACAAAATTTTCGGACGACCAAGATCAGATGTAAAATGCCTAAAA